CCTATCACTTTAAGTACTGTTTCAAGTTATACTACCTAAAATATCTGTGACTTGGCTACATTAAAAGTTACAAAAATGTAGAAAGCAGCTACAGAGTAATTATTAATCCTTGCAAGAAGAGTTTTGTTTTGCTGATTCCGTAACTCCATTCCTGAGACCCTTTCAAACATCACACACAGCTTACCTGTAGTACATTTCACTCTACAGAAAGAAAGCACAACATTGCCTTTTCTATTTTCTGTACAGAAATAGGACATATTTCCAACAGTCATTATGAGACCAAAAGTATTTCCCCAGAAATCGACTCCATCATTGCTTCAAAAGAGTTTGTGGAACACCTATAATGTGTTTTAAATTTGTATATTTTGTTATATATGAAATTCAATGATCCTGCTTGTTATTTGACAACCAGAGACAAACACACAATTTTAGGTAAATCAGAGGCTAGATTTGTATGTTTTTTGTGTGCCTTTTGCAAATTCATAATTGCTAGCACGTTGCAGTGGAAATATATAATAGCAAAGTATGTAAAATCACATGTTTATACAGATTTAGAGCACTCCGGGTCAGAGTGGATATTACTGTATGATTCATCAAAGAATTGTTCATTTTATCATGATTATCACAAAAATGTCTTCGTTTCATCTAATTTTCAACCATGTTTTACCGTGTTTGAGTGCTTGATAATAATAATGCATTATTCATCTTTGAATGTTTCATCATGTGAATTTTTCTTCTACACAAAGGATAATGTTTTTTTTTCTAGTAAAGGACTTTAAAAAGAGGGAATCAAAATAAAGTTTTGTGGTTGTTTTGAACACATTATATTCTGGACCTTCCTTGAAAGTTATAAACCTTGCATTTGCACTGTCATACATTGAAAAATCAGAAAACAATTTTGTCAGATACCAACAAATGCCAAATCTTGACTGTGCATGTTATCTTCACCAGTAAACATTACAGCTAGAATTCATGAGCATTATGAAATGTCTCTTCACTTTTATATCATAATTTTCCATTTTGAATGCTTTTATTTGCCTTCCGTTAACATTGTTAATTGTTGCTTTATCGATTGTTTTGTGTCACCATATAGATTTTTTTCTTCACGTGAATTCAATTTAAGGACAATTGTTGTAATAGAAATGTTTTCTAAAAGGGTGGACGTGGATCATAATGAAGAAGATATCAGGGAACAGTTTGATCACAAATGCTGTTGAAAACATATCCCATTGCTATACAGAATGAAAAACAATTATTAAAAGTGCTCTCCTCAATAGGAAAATGTACTGTGTTCTCCATCATATTTGCAATAAAATATTAGTCACAACCTTAAGCTAGGTATTACTAGTAGTTAGGAATGTGAACTCTTTCAGAAATGACAACAAATAGGAGGGAGGGCCAGTCCTATTTGAGTTTCAACAATGACATTTAGAACAAAAAATTCTGAGGATCGCAAACATGCATGCCCTTTCCCAACATCTTTCATTGTCATTTTTAAGGGTCTGCATAGAAGGTCCTGATCACGCTTAGCACGCTAACTTTTGTAAGGCAGTGGCCACGATTTACACTTGACATTAAATCAGAGTTGTTCGACTTTAAATTATGCAAATAGCAAGGTGCGAAATTCTGCAGAGCAACGACCCCGTATTACGCTTCAGTTAATTGTACAGGCTGGATGTTTTATTACACACATTACGTTTAATGGTGAATAGAACGACCCGGCGTCCCGTTGTGCAAAACTAAAGCGGCTGATTACGCATCGCAGCATGCAGACCCAATTTTTGAAAGAGTTCATAAATGAAAGTAGACTCACAGTCAAGTCCAATGTTCTGAGACTTGTCTCGTGGATAGGTGACAGGTCCCTCAGAAACACTGGCGGGTCCTCCAAGAATATGGACAGGAACACAGGATAGCTGACAAATCCCACAATGTCAAGCCTAAGGTGTAAAGAAAGATCACAGGCTAAATATAACTACTCACAGCGCATGATACATTGCAATAGTCACATCATTTGTTAAAGTTCTAAAAACCTGATTTGGGTTGGGGTCTGAGTTGAGCTTTATGCTTTGTTTAATAGAACATTAAAGAAAAGGTACACATAGAATATCATGACCATAGAAAATCACATAAAATACATGTCACATAAAATATTATACATCAAAACAATCAATATGAAAAGTTAACACACAGGTTGACAAAAGAAACAGCAATACAAAATTGTATTACTATCAAAGCCAATGGCAAATTGAATCAGACATGAAATACCTCATTTCAGAACGGTTACCATTACAGCACATGAAATCCATTTCAAACATCTGATTCAGTCAAACAACATTTAAGCACAGCTCATATTGATTAGCCTGGGTACCATCCTACTTGTATACCGGGGCTCCCACACTCGCTTCCCTAAGAAGGGAAGCGAGTGTGGGAGCCCCGGTATACAAGTAGGATGGTACCCAGGCTACATATTGATAAAATAAGGTAGTAAAAGGTGAATAATCTTTGAAAAATGCGGCTCTGAAAAAGCGCCCCTTAACGGCCGTTTTACTAAGTGCACGCTTAAACCCCCTCTAAATCAATACTTCACACCATTCTGTGTTTTTAAGCTTCACTTCATTACAATAAGTTCGGTTTAAATAGCAACGACAATATAAAGGACAATGTTAAGTGCGACTCACCACCTAAAACGGACGTAACGCGTCTTCCAAGACGAATTTTACCGGAGCTCTCTCCCTTCCATGTGCACTGGCTGTCTTCCTGAAGCGTGGTCCTGCACCTGACAAAAGATTACCAGAATTTTCATATTGTCAATTAAATAATTATATCAGATTAGCTTAGACACAGGTGTGATCTCATTTCTTAATGAATCATCATAATTTGCATTTCTTTTCTAAGCTTTATAACGTAATAGACCAACACCATTATCATTATACCATTATTTGCCTTACAAATATACCCGGTAATCGTCTTTTGTTCTTGTGTAAGAGTTATGGCTGCTTCTCCAAAACAAGGTTTAGTCATACAGGCCCACTACACTGCGTTTACTCCTCCTTATTAAGCAATAAAGACGAGTTATCGACTAATAAAAGCGGCTAATGTTGTTTAGATCGACAATCGGCTATATTGTGCTGTATTCGTATTATTTGGATAATCAGGGTAACATTCATAATGAACTTTAACCTTCTAAGGTCAAATTCAACCAGGGGCTTGAAAAGGTCACATTTATGCCCCGAACACCCAAATAATACACAGTATATCCGATTGTCGATCTAAAAACCAATGCACTTTTTCGAATTACCTTTTGGCGACTAAGCCTGACGCAGTGTGCTTCCTTTGTGTAATTTTAGCAGCGTCGAATTTGGGGGTACTGTAACTAGCCTCCTGTGTACAGACTAGGAAGACGTTTGAGCGCTAAATTTCGCGACGTACGGCACTAGCTACCGCCCCCCTCCCCCGATACAGCTCTCCGCTAAAACCGCCGCAAATATAAAGCGCTCATTGAAGCGAACTACGGCCGCAAGAAAAGATAATTGGGTACTTAACTAGCCGGATGACGTCTCTTTTGAAACACCTCAGGTTCACGGCCACCACTGCAGCGATTACGGCAGAATTCGCGACTCACCTGAACTGCAATGATATCTTTAGCCGCAAGGCGACGCTTTTAGACCGTGTGCAGCACGCGGCTTGGCTCCTCCGAAGCTGCAATGATATTTTTAGCCGGCGATTTTGAACCGTGACCAGAATGTAAATCAGATTGGAATGGTCCTCGTGATAACAATATAGCTTCTCCACTCACATTTGTTGCTTCACTACCCGGTAATCGTCTTTTGTTCTCGTGTAAGAGTTATGGCTGCTTCTACAAAACAAGGTTTAGTCATACAGGCCCACTACACTGCGTTTACTCCTCCTTATTAAGCAATAAAGACGAGTTATTGACTAATAAAAGTCGCTTATGTTGTTTAGATCGACAATCGGCTATATTATGCTGTATTGGTATTGTTTGGATAATCAGGGTAACATTTATAATGAACTTTAACCTTCTAAGGTCAAATTCAACCTGGGGCTTGAAAAGGTCACATTTATGCCTCAAGTACCCAAATAATGCACAGTATATCCGATTGTCGATCTAAAAACCAAAGCACTTCCTCCACTAAGCGTGACGCAGTGCGTTTCCTTTGTGCAATTTTAGCAGCGTCAAATTTGGGGGTACTGTATTAGCCTCCTGTGTACAGACTAGGAAGACGTTTGAGCGCTAAATTTCGCGGCGGTACGGCACCAGCTACCGCCCCCTCCCCCCGATACAAATCTCCGCCAAAACCGCCGTAAATAAGCGCTCATTGAGGCGAACTCCGGCCGCTAGAAAAGATAATTAGGTATTTAACCAGCCGGACGACGTTTGCTTTGAAACACCTCAGGTTCACGGCCACCACTGCAAAGATTACGGCAGAATTCGCGACTCATCTGAGCTGCAATGATATTTATAGCCGCAAGGCGGCGCTTTTAGACCGTGTGCAGCACGCGGTTTGGCTTCGCCGAAGTTGCAATGATATTTTTAGCCACTAGTCGGCGCCTTTGAACCGTGACCAGAATGTACCTCAGATTGGCAATTTTGCTTGTCCACTCACATTTGTTGCTTCATTACCCGGTAATCGTCTTTTGTTCTCGTGTAAGAGTTATGGCTGCTTCTCCAAAACAAGGTAAGGCTTTTTCTCGTTGATAGTATCCGAGTTATTTTTCTGTCAACGAATTGCTGACATATTACTAGTTGAACAAATCAGGCATATAAACTTGGTTGTGCAGTACTAGTATGCCATTTGCGGCCTTAATATTTTTCAAAACTATACTAATCAAAATTTAGTTGGTGACTACCAGGTTTAAGCAGTCCGTATGGCAGATACTGTTTTGTAGAATAAAATATTCTATGAAAGTAGACCACTTCGATGTATTTCATGAATTAACAAAGCCTCAATCAATCAAGTAGACAACAACTTTTCTGAAATAAATGGATTTATTTTTGTACAGGATAAATTAGTGTTTTCTTTACAAAAAGTGGTAGACAAAAATGAGTGAATAAAAAATGTATCTACAAAAGTCGTCCTCACTTTCATTGAAAGTTATACGAGTTGTAATAATAAACATGACCCCAATAAAATCAAGTCACCATCTCCGTCTCTTCCTACCCTTGAAACAAAACTTGACGAAATTCTCTTAATTACCACCCTTTCTCTTGACATTTTGTTTCTATGCCAACATTCTATTTCCAGAGAACATTTCATCAAAGCTACTGAAGCCTACAATACAATACCAGCTCTTACAGGAATGATCACATTGTATTTGTTAAAATTCACAACCAACAAAACCTTAACAACATCTCTCTCTCTGTATTGACCTGACTTAAACCATTGCCTGTATGCTTGCTTACACAATGCGCATTTGGAATGGCAGCTTCAAACATTTCTGTCATCCTACCCAAACATCTAACGGTAAATAAATGCTACCTAATGTGGTCATGAAAGGTAATGTCAATCTCACAGCTCTTTCTTTGGACACACAGCATTTTGCGATTCCGTTTCAAACACAGTGTATCTCTCTCTACAACATACAGCATAAGCTTTCCATGATTACTTGGTTTACACACTGACAGTATAGCGAATGTCATGGAATAAAGATGTGGAAGGCAGTTACATCCTATCCGCAACAATGTTTCTCCCCGAAAGTGTCTAGAATTCTCTCTGCCAGTCAGATAGTCTTATTTTCCAACAAAAAAGAAAACTAGCGGCCACTGAAATATACTAGAGCATGGATACACGGGACCTAACATGTTGTCAGCTTTTTCTTGGCAACTCCATGTTTCAGTACAGTAGACACTGAGGTAGTGGTAATGTTAGGTGCATATCAAGATTGAGAAGTAACTTGGTGGTTTTGCACAAGCACGGGAAATACTAGTATTGCCTTCAAACACTGGTGGGCTTTTCAGAACTTGGCAGTACTACAGTTATGCTTCAAAACATTTCCTATGTCATAATTTTACAAAATATAAGTTTGGACAAAACACTCTCAACGGGCTACCTTAGCTTTCCAAACAATGCATACAGGTCCACAACTAACCTCTAGAGTTTATGCTGGACATGGTATTGCAAGAATTAAAATTTTTATGATACAGTTCCATACAGTGCATATATAAATCTATATACAAAATGGTACTTAAAGTGGTAAAAACTTACTTTGTACATAGGCCAGTATAAAATGATAGGTTTGTGCTGTATACTTAGGCCACAAAGGATGCATTGTTGTACAATGCATTTTATGAAAAATGCAGAATGTACTTGGTCTCCAAATCTTTTTTCCTTACAAATACAAAGGTGTATCAATATCAAAGGATATTTTTATAGCAAGTACATGTAACATAAAAAGTAGAAAAGTTTAGACAAAAATAGTGTTATCTGTCTTGTCTTAGCATCCAATTATTGTTGAAATGTTGTCTTTTCTGCATTATGAATATGAAACCTCTACTGTAACTCGACATAACAATACGTTACCAACACTAGAGTACAAATTTGTCTGAAAGTCCTTGTTGTCTAAGGCACAAGAAATATCCATGGACATTGTAATTTGTGGAATGACAATGTACAGTTCTCCCAAAATAGTCGCTTTCACAATAATAGCTTTTCCATTTTCTACAGGTCCCCTAAACAATCAACACGTGTCATATTGCTCGCTCAAAGCTTCTCCTCTATTTGCATAAAAATTCCTACACAAATCGCGGCTCTCTCGGGCCATTACTGGATCCATCTGGACTGTTACTACCGTTACTGTCCGGTGAAATGGCGCCCACTGGCCCGACGTTTTTAACTCGCGACAAACTCGGTGAGGTGCTCTTCAGCTCGGGTATGTTGTACCTGGCGGAGTGGAGTAGAGAGTACGACGTCGGCGTGTAACCGGAGAATTTCTGCTGCGGTCCTTTGGCGGTCGGTGTTCCTGCGGACCAGGACGAACTCGTGCCCGTTTTCCCGGCAGGTGTTGAAGCGTTGGGTTTGGGGAGACCTGTGCTCACGGTGGGTCTACTGGGGAGGGCGGAGGAGCTGAGGAGGGGCGACTTCAGCGGGAGGTTCGCCGTCAGTTTGAAGTCTCCCGCGCTGCTGCTCCGGGCCAGCGACTTGGGGACGCTCGTCACGCCGCCCGTGTTATCCACGGCCATGTACATCGAGCAGCGCTTCTGCTCCTCCGTTAGGAAATCGTTGGAGTCGGCGGAGAAATCGGTCTGCGAGTCCTGGTCGGTTTTCATCTTCACCTCGTACTTTTTAGCGGAGGGAGACAGAGTCACCGGGATGGACTCGGCGGAGAGGTTGGACTTCCGCCGGGGAGGGGGGACAGGACTGCTGGAGCTGTCCGGCAGGTCAAGGTCAAGGTCATCTAGGTCATTGGCATCCAGGCTGTTGGGAGAGTCGGCCTTGTCTAGGTAGAAACAAAGGCAAACCTGTAAGATCCTCCTACAAGATAAGACATTATACCCGGTAATACAGACTTCTATACTGGAAATAGGGACTGCAGGCACATACCACAACACAGTACCCGGTATAATACTATTACTACAATACTGGATATGATAAGTGGTAGATTACGCTTCCATTTGGCTTACTGCGACAGATGGTAGCAGTAACGACGATGCTGATGCTGATGGCTTACTGCAGATGGCTTACTGCAGATATAGATCTAACTTCCTTAACCTGCGCATACAGCACATGTAATTACGCCACACCAAATCAATTAGGTGTTTCTCAGAGTTGCCTAAAAATTTGGTCATGGAAGTCGTCAGCAAAGTTTTAATAATTTCTTCTCATTTGCCTTGACCATTTTGGGGAAGTCTTCAAAATCTCCTTGGCTTTGTTGTTGCTTTTTCACTCTTGTTTCACAATTTTGCAGAATAAAGAGAGAAACAGCTTATCAAATTGGTGTGGCCCAAAGTGCAGATAAAGCCCTGATACCTTTGCCCATGGAAAGCTCCACCAAGCCAGAGAAATTGTCCTCTAAACTTTCCCTCCTGCCTTCTTCATCAAGCTTCATACTGCCAGGTAGAAGAACTCCCTGGGGAGGAAACATGCCAGGTTAGGGGCAGCAGCAAACCACAACCAGCAGCTTATGCCATATAATACTACTTTTCAGCCACCTACTAAGCAGATAGAATGGCTATACATGTACCTGACTACAGATAATGCTGGATAATCTACAATGGAAAAATACAGGAACAAGGAACACTGTTGCAAAGCACAGTTACAATAGAGCTATAATTAATGATACTATTGGATCAAATTGTATCATGGTACAGTATGAATATGCTAGTAGTACGGAAAGCCAGTGGGATTTGTTTTAATTTTAAACAGGTATCTGTAATGTGTGTTAAACTTATGTATGAAGATGCTGACATGTGAAAAAAAAAGACATCATAATAAAATGTGTTGAATTCTACATGCGGAACTGTGGAAGAAAAACAAATATTCATTTTGTGGTATAAGACAGGAGAATTGTCTATCAGGGTGACTAGAAGGATGCATGTGTGTTGGACAGACACAGATGTACATGTTTGGCAAAAGGAAAAGTATGCCTGATCCCCGCAATCACTAAGTATACGGTCTCAGTAACCTACATGTACTCATTGTAATAATCTATGTCTATCACTGTTTACTTCTAACATTACATGTATATGTATGACTAATTCCACCACCACTAATACCACCACCAAACACAAGAGCTGCCGGAGCAGCATTTTTTACCCTTTTCTTTCTCAAGACTCTCTGATTGCTTGACACACTCGTCTGTGGGATCTGAACAGGTACATGTTTGTGTTACAGACAGTACATATCACATTCAGTACACAGTCATGTCAGGGGACTTATTATCTATCTACCAACCCCAGTCTGGGAATGGACTAATCTGGAGTGAGTATCAATACAAGCAATGACAACAGAACAGTGTTCTAGCCAGCATCAATTTTTCCATATTTTGAGGGAATTTTTAACTAAGCTTACATGTCTGTCAGCAAATTTTGCCCCTCAAAATGCAGGAAATAGTATTTTGGAGGGTCAATATTTTAAAATAGAATGATCATGTCAACAAAATTGAGAGGATGGAAAAATTTCAGGCTGGCTAGAATACTGGAACAGATCATGTGATGTCATGCAAGGACAAGAATATGGAATGTAAACTGATGGACAGGAAGATAAAGAAGAAACACCACAGAATACACAAATGATTACAGCAAATCAGGAGGAAGGACTTTCTATTCCTCATCAAAAAAGGTATCGAGAAGAAGTCACTAATTTATGTAGTTTCAACAACCTCTGTAAGAAGAGCATGTCAACAGAATGTACTGCATCTGCATGAAAACCCAATTTTTTAATGGTTTTGTTTGGATGTATGGTCAACTTTGCATCAAAGTTTTGCTTGTTGCAGGCAGTGTCTTTTCCAGCACATTTGAAAACTATAGACAGGATGCCATTCTTGAATACAACCATGGAGACAGGGCTAGTATGTTCTGCTGACGTGCTTGTAAAGAATGACAAATCCTGAGTGAGAAGAGTGTAACAGTGTTACTGACCTGTTCTGAGGGGGACTCCACTCTGTCCTGGTTGTGTAGCTGACTCAGCAAGTCCTCTCCTCCATTCTCACTGGAGACTCTACAGCAACATTACAAGACTTAGTCATCAGTCTGCAACGCCCTCTAGTGAGGTTAACAGGAACTACAAGTTCTAACAGTCTAGTATCAACTACTAAGATAAGTCAAATTTTCTATTTGTTCTAAGCAGGGTAAATCACTGGGACTGAAATCAAGTGTGTACTTGTGTATGTTCTCATTTTCCTGTTTTACTGATTTCTTCTATCCCTTAGGACTGTATTTCTTGTTTAGCCACACCTCCATACATATAAACATGTTTGATAACCTGTACAGTTACTGAATCTCAGTTCTGTGGCCACATTTTAGTTAACAGACACATGCACAACTCTGGAACATATGACCCACCTTGGTTTGGTCCCCTGCTCCGGGACTTGTTTCTGGGTCTCCCCAGAGTCCCCCTCACCCTGGGGCTCGTCCTCTGGGTTGGAGTCCTTCCTGCCGGCACCCCCCTCCCCCGATGGGATGACCTCGACTGGTGTAGCAGGAATCTCCTTGGGAGGAGCCAGCCCCAGGTCTGTCAGGTCTCCGAAGATCTCCTGTGGTAAAAAATAGAAAAAATGTTTTCTTTTATTTATATGGACCATGGATGCCTGAAATACAGAATAAAGAAAGAAATCCACAACTCAGTCTTCTAGCCAACCTGAAATTATTTTCTGTCATCTCAAAACATCATGTCAAGTGCCATAGACAATGCAAGGATGTTCCCCTGGGAAAATTTCTTGACCCTCTGGAACCCTATTTCCTGTTGATCAGAATTTTTTTCCGTTGTAGACGATATCTTTTCCAACACAACATCTGAAAACTACTGACGGGATGTCATCCTTGAATAGATGAATACGAGATGTTCTGCCAAAAGTGCTATGCATAATACATAATGTTTCGCACAGGCACAGTACTTTCTGACAACATTCACACTGAAGGATGTACAGTTCGTCGGCCGTACCTCTGCATTTGTGATGAGTTGCTCTATTGCACGTGTCTGGTGAGGCATGTCTACCAGCGAGGACAGTGTCACATGGGTCTCACTGTGGAGAGAACACACAAGGTTAAACAATGAAATTGCCTTGTACATCACGGCTGCCAGTCATGCTGCTGTTGATACGAATAAACCAACAAACAAACAAACAACACAGATTCAATCACATGCTTAATATGTACATCACAGCCAATGCAAGAAAGCCAGAACAATGAGAAATAATCTGTGAACAAACGTACCTTGGTCTGAGAAGAGTTGGTCCAAAGACGATGCCCAAGTTGCTGGCAGTCATCTTGTTCAAATCCTCATTTTCGGCAACCCTGCAGGATACAAGTAGACAACTTGAGCTAGTTGTCAAATCTCTTAAAAACTTTGAACATCGATCATCCTTTTTGACAAAGCACATTGTAAACACATCTGTAAATTAAAAGATATGACCAACCTTTGGCGTAACACACCACCTCCGGGCAGTGGCTTGCAGAGGCACTGATATGTCATTATATTATATTTTCTGAATGACATGGACTTCCTCATGGACTTGGCACTTCTAGAATTTTCCCTTTCAGCCTAAGAAGTATGTATCATACATGTAGTTCTGTGCTGTGCCAACATTCAGCTTCAGCAAGCTAATTAAGTTCAGAACAATCTAGGAAGCCTACAACATTATGTACATGTAAGACCCCACCTCTTGAGATGGTGCATGAGTAGTGCTGTTGTGTTGAAGTTAGGTTTGGGGAGTTTCCGGACCAGTTCTCTCATGGTGGCTACAGCGGTATTGTGGGCACTGGTCAGACTGTTCCCTGTACCCTTCCCACTGGCCACCAGGGTACTCAAACTACTCTGACTGTCCTGTAGGAGGAAAGGAAGAAATGTCACATAAACTTACGTGTACATAACTTCTACATACATGTAGTTAGTAACTTTAAGTCCAACATGAGAATGTACACTGGAGGGGACTATGCTTAGATGTGTTTCTGAGAAAAGGTATAACACAGTAGACACCAACTATTTGCATCACTGACATTGGTACATGTGTAGATACTACATTTTGTACCTGCAGTCCCCATTTCATGCCACCTGTAGTTTCATTATAGTAGAGAGGAATACTGTAAACTGACAATTGACTTGTGACTGTAACACAGTTGTTTCAACTTTATATTTTTGGGGAGGAAATTCATCATACACATGAAACTTACAGTTACACATTGCCATTATCTACTTAGAAAGAAATTAAATGGATTTTACTGTACAGTTGCTATTCGGGAATTAAAGAACAGTTGACGATTTTCAAATAGGTTCAATTTTACATTTGTAGCTGTACATGTGTGCAATTGTGTACACTGTGTGCATTGCATAAGTGCACAGTGCTCACCCAGACAAAGTGGAAGATGCTACATGTATGTATATTTTAGTGTTACAGCACCCAGTAAAGTAAACAAAACATAACAAAACAAAAACACCACTGCACCAGACCACCAAACACAGAGGGAAACAATACATGTACATTGTAACTCTGCAAGTACTTTATTTCTTTGTGTCCACCTTAAAAAGACCAGAAATGCACAAAGAGGAAAGCAAAAAAAAAGGATAAAGAAATGTACAAGAACTGCAAAAGCTTGCTCCTTCTTAGAGTGCCAAAGTTTCCCCCAGCAAGCTTATTAACATTCCCAGCACACCAAACATTTTATCCCAAACACCAGCACCACAAGCAAGTCGTTGGCACATGGTACAACCTTGTTCCTGTCCAGTTCCGTAAGGTTGGGTGTGGATCCAGTCAACAGTACCCTACTGGACTTGGTACTGAGAAAGTACTCCTGGAACAGTCACACGGTGTCTCAAACATAGCTAGGAATATTCTTACAGTCTTACCCAATGTTTTCTGGTTTGTTTGTTTGTTTTTAAAACAAGCAGAAATGTAGATGTTAAATAATGATGAACCTTGATGTAAGACTTTTAGAAATCTGTCTGATATTAACTGCCATTTCTTGGCACATTTTTGCCATCATTTCATACTTGAAGCATTTGAAATAGCTAAAAACAAGGTACTTGAAGCATCTTTAACTTTTTGGGTACCACCCATAAGTCAGTCTACGATACAAAACAAGCTACCATTTTCCGTCAGTGACATCGCATTTTTGCCTCACAGATATCAGTATGCTATGGAACAGGACTTAGATAAATTAAACTTACTTCTTTAAAAAAATTAAAGATCCAGTTTTGCTGCCTTGAAATTGCATAGGCTGCCTTTACATGAATGCTCAAATCCAGAAATGGTCCCGTACCCAGTAAAAGTGGTATACAATGTACGTTTGCATGTACTAAATGGAAACTTCCTAAAACCCGGCAAATTTTGTATACATTGTTTTACATGTGAAGATGTCTGTTACTGAATTGTTTTTATGTTACAAGACAACTTAGCCATTCTGGCAGCCATGTTTGCGACAGTGTTGAAATAAACCATTCATAAAACCCTAAATATGTCAAGTGTACATAAGTGAAAAGACTACCTTGGCTGCCTTGACAAACTCAGGATAGAGTCTGAAGGTGAGCAGTGGTTCGGGGAGTTGTCTGATGTACAGTTTCAGCACGTTGGCGATGTCATGGGGGGGACAGTTGGACAGGTCCACCAGGTTAGCCGCGTTCTCAAAACTCTGACACAGTCTCTCAACACGAGACTTTACTCCATTTACTCTGTAGATACCCTGGTACCGATAGAGAAACAATAGATACATGAGAAAAAGCATGGAATTCTAGAGATAAACTACTATCTAAAGACATGGTGTAATATCTTTTCACTACAAATCACCCGGATGGAGGCCCGGTGAACTCCGTGTTAAACTAGCCACCCCGTTAACTTGTTCACTTGTGCAGAAGTTGTTCAAATCATGCAATTCATTGCATTGTCTGTTACAGACGATATTTTTTCCGGGATGTCAACCTTATATACGCAAATACGACCTTATATAAGACGTTCTGCCTAAGTGCTATGCACAATACATTACAGGGTTAGTGTAGGTGCAGTACGTTCTGCCGAGGTGCTACAGTATCTGTACTGTACGATGTATATCATCTTAGAAGTAGACTGTGGCAGAAGGATTGAGATGTCCAACAAACCAAGACTGTCTCACCTTGACCATGAGGGCCCTGCTGTCTATCTCCTCGATACACTTCTGTATAACAAAGGGCACCTGTGTGATGGTGTTACAGTGCAGGTGGAAGTCTACACCAAACAGGCTCAGCTTCCCCTGCAGCTTCCTGTGCCCACACTGGATAGCCAGGGTCTCCAGACACTTCTTATGGCATGCCAGCATGCACTGGAGGGGACAGAGAGTTGTCAATTGAACCAATTCAACATCAGGACTCTTACCCAAAGTTTCAAATGTAAAACACCAGTCTTTGTCAAGGAGGGCACAGAGAGTTGTGTCAGTCGGATCAGTTCAACATAAGGACTCGCTTTTAAAAATGGCAAAAAAAAAACAGATAAAACAATTCTAAAAGCCTGTATTCAAACACTAAAAAAGATGCCTGAGGGTATTTGCCCACATACCAAATTTCAGGCCATTCAGCCCAAAAATGAAGAAATTGAATCCTTTATAAGAAATGGCAGGAGAAGGAGAAGAAACTACATGAGTAAAAACAATATTTCATCTATACCTATGGTATGGACTGAAATAATGCACTCTGTCAACACAGATAAACTTTCCAGCTAAGTACAAAACCATCATTTCTTACTGATGTCAATAGCTACATGTAAGTCACCAACAGAAGCAGCCCTTACCTCTTCACACTCTGCCCCGTTGAAGTAGACGTAACTGTCACACTCCCGACACTTGGAGGGTGTACGCAGCTTCCTGAACTGGTGTGTGTGGGCAGCCTTGGACAGGACCAGGTTACGGAAGGGTCCAGGGGAGGCATCGGGGGTCATACCACTGATGAACCCTGATGAAACAGTAGTCAGGTTAGATGTGATAAAGACAACAGTCGTAATGCCAGACTTGCACTTAGACTTAGGGGCTCCCATGCCTTCTGATACATGAGGCTATCGGATTTATAATGCCTGAGACATTCAATAAGTCAATGTTCACAACGAAACAAATGTATAAGGTCATATTGTGCTGTATTCGACATAAAGTTTTTAAAAACACGAGCCTTGCCACTAATGGAAATAACCACTATTGCACTATGATTTGGGGCCACTTTGGGTATATGGGGCAGTCTATTGTATAATGGGTGGAAATTTTGCTGCAGTTTTCTTGTTCTGTCTTGTCTTGTTGCCATGCTTTTTGGGTGGTCATCTTAGCCAAGTTTGACTGTACTCTGTATGTATGTGTTAGTTCAAAACATACTGGGGTCAATCCCTGGGCTTTCCTGCTCATCTATGAGTTCGTCTCCGGACGACATGGTGCCTGTAGACGGAGCACGGGGAAGTTTCCTGGGCGGGTCCCCGGGACTCGCTGACGGTGAGGGATCCAAAGACCTGGTACTACTGCCACTGGCACTGTCTGTGTCACTACCGGGGATAGCCTGTGGAACATACATGTAGGAAAATGGCTCTATGTACAGTGTTCAAATTACACAAAGAAAATCATTACTCAAATAACTGGATAGATTTTGAAAACTGTCAGACGTTTTAAGTAACATCTACTACCAGTATTCCAGAATCTAGTGAGTGTGAGAGAGTGTTGCTTGAGTAAAAATTTCTGTGTGTATCTCATTACATGGATGTCTAATATTCATCGACGTACATGTAGTTAATAAAACATGATGTGGGAGGTTATACTACAGCAATCTTCCCAGACCTGTTGGAAATTTTATGTTCTTTCATTAAATTCGTAAAAATGCAGTGAAAATGCCTCCGGTGCTGTAAGCAACTTTCAGTTTATCCTCCATACCTGTGGTGAGTGTGCCCAGGCCTTGATGGGGTGGGATGTACCATGTTTGTCTATCGGACTGTCAT